TTTATTGCATGAGCTGTTGTTTGTTATCGGCATTTTTCATCATATTATAAGCAATACATTTTTCTGTTATATATTATACATTTCTGATGCAGTGACGCTGTGGTATATTTTGTCCTCGTTTAATGGTGATAGGTATATTTTCCCTTGTGTTATGACGTCGTGGTATATTAAATTCTCATTAACTGACGCTGTGGTATATTTGTCCTCGTTTAATGGTGATAGGGATATTTTCTCTCGTGTTATGGCGTCGTGGTATATTTTGTCCTCGTTTAATGGTGATAGGTATATTTTCTCTCGTGTTATGGCGTCGTGGTATATTATATTCCCATTAACTGACGCTATGGTATATTTTGTCCTTGTTTAACGGTTATAGGTATATTTTCCCTCGTGTTATGGCGTCGTGGACTATTTTGTCCTCGTTTAATGGTGATAGAAATATTTTCCCTCGTATTATGGCGTCGTGGTATATTTTGTCCTCGTTTAATGGTGATAGGTATATTTTCTCTCGTGTTATGGCGTCGTGGTATATTTTGTCCTAGTTTAATGGTGATAGATATATTTTCCCTCGTGTTATGGCGTCGTGGTATATTTTGTCCTAGTTTAATGGTGATAGATATTTTTTCCCTCGTATTATGGCGTCGTGGTATATTTCGTCCACGTTTAATGGTGATAGGTATATTTTCTCTCGTGTTATGGCGTCGTGGTATATTTTGTCCTCCTTTAATGGTGATAGGTATATTTTCCCTCGCGTTATGGCGTCGTGGTATATTATCTTTTAAACTGACGCTGTGGTATATTTGTCTTCGTTTAATGGTGATAGGTATATTTTCCCTCGTGTGATGACGTCGTGGTATATTATCTTTTTAACTGACGCTGTGGTATATTTGTCCTCGTTTAATGGTGATAGGTATATTTTCCCTCGCGTTATGGCGTCGTGGTATAGTATCTTTTAAACTGACGCTGTGGTATATTTGTCCTCGTTTTATGGTGATAGGTATATTTTCCCTCGTGTTATGGCGTCGTGGTATATTATATCCTCATTAACTGACGCTATGGTATATTTTGTTCTTGTTTAATGGTGATAGGTATATTTTCTCTCGTGTTATGGCGTCGTGGTCTATTTCGTCCTCGTTTAATGTTGATAGGTATATTTTCCCTCGTGTTATGGCGTCGTGGTATATTTTGTTCTTGTTTAATGGTGATAGGAATATTTTCCGTCGTTTTACGGCGTCGTGGTATATTTCGTCCTCGTTGAATGTTGATAGGTATATTTTCCGTCGTTTTATGGTGTCGTGGCATATTATCTTTTAAACTGACGCTGTGGTATATTTGTCCTCGTTTTATGGTGATAGGTATATTTTCCGTCGTTTTATGGTGTCGTGGTATATTATCTTTTAAACTGACGCTGTGGTATATTTGTCCTCGTTTAATGGTAATAGGTATATTTTCCCTCGTGTTATGACGTCGTGGTATAATATCTTTTTAACTGACGCTGTGGTATATTTGTCCTCGTTTAATGGTGATAGGTATATATCCCCTCGTGTTATGGCGTCGTGGTATATTTTGTCCTCGTTTAATGGTGATAGATATTTTTTCCCTCGTGTTATGACGTCGTGGTATAATATCTTTTTAACTGACGCTGTGGTATATTTTGTCCTCGTTTAATGGTGATAGATATTTTTCCCTCGTTTTATGGCGTCGTGGTATATTTTGTCCTCGTTTAATGGTGATAGGTATATTTCTCTCGTGTTATGGCGTCGTGGTATGTTTTGTCCTCGTGTTATGGTGTCGTGGTATATTATCTTTTTAACTGATGCTGTGCTACATTTTGTACTCGTGTTCATGTGGTTTATGTTTTTATTTAATCTCTGATGGCGATATTAATTACGTTCTATTTTACACTGTTTATAATTCAATTTCTGTACAATAGATCATGTGATACTTCAACTTAGAATATTAAACACTAAGAGATGAATGATAAAACCTTACTTACCTGTTCATCAAAGCAAGGGTATGTCTTTGTTAATTTTTCACGACGACTTTGCGGCCCGATTTTGTCTTGTGTGCCGACTATTCCATATAATCTCGTCGACAGAAAAAGTTAAGGGATGACAATCTACACTTAGAAACCATTGAATAGGTTACAGAAGTTTATTGCCTCTGGAAATATCAATGTATGTATTGGGTGCAGTGGCTTGTTCTACACATGGTGTTGCGGAGTGTAAATATAAATATTGACATTTTGGGAGAATTCCGTAATTTTTCTGGTTCGGTAAGATTGCTACGATATTTTAGAATGACTTTGTTTATTATTTTCACAGCAATGCTGACTTCAAGTGAAAAAGTTGGCCCCTCTCCGCTAAAAAATAAATTATTCTTGATTTGCTAGATGGTGGGTATCTCGTTATTACGCTATGGAGGTTTGGTCCAACATGTACATCACTGCAGATGTGAGAAGGGCGATAACTCAGATAGATATTCCTATTATTAGTAAATCCCTGACCCAAACAGGATATTACCTCCCCTGCAACACTTTATGCTAAATATTTGTTCACATAACCAAAGGAGTACTCCTTATACACCATTTTAACACCAAACTCTCGTAGAGGTCACGTGGGAGTCAGACAACGTTCAAGTGTAGGTTATTGACGTTAGACTGATTACATTACGCGCTCGATAAAAGAAGAGATTTTGCTACCGTGATAAGTATTGTATGGACGAACATTTTTACTGGAGACATAGACCAGGTATTTACAATGTTCACGATATATTAACCACCTGTCGTCATTTGATCCCAATTTTATATATATTGCCGGTTTGCCCTTTGAACAAGACGCAACACATCTAATAGAAATAGAAAAACAATTGAAGGCAATCTCTGTCTGTGACAATAAAATATATAGGCACGACATCAACAGCAATGAAACATGAGGAAATTGCTGTTTCGATGAGTTGTTCCGTACCTAACCACATAAATATACTTTACTGGCTTAGGTTTCCTTGAAAGTCTCGGTGAGTTCAGTAATATTAAACTACAGAATTGAGAAAACATATAAAGTGAAATCAATTGATTTGACTGCCTTATTCCCGTATGGTCCAAGCTATCAACTGAATGTTTTTCTATAAACCCATTCAAATCTAAACTGAATATCTACTGGAAACGTAGGATATAGGAAATTGCATTAAAAAACTGCAATGCATATTTAAAACATTGATGGTGGTATGCAACATAGCTACTTTCAAACATATTTCACAAGGCTCGGTAGTGTATCTTTAAAAATGTATCCACTTTCAGCGTTAGGATATAATAAGTGTGTGTTTACACTGCAGCTGTTTCCTGAAATCGATACAATTATTCTTTTTCGGACACTGCATGTCACCCTCCCCACCTTGTAAGAAATGTGGTATATTTTGTATATTTCTTTACTTATACATGACTTTTTCTACTTCATAATAATGACATATGTGTGAGTTTACCTCCCAAGAACACATTTTCTTCATTCTACAACATTTGGTTAACTAGTAATAACTTAATATTAACCATACCATTTTGACGACCCTTGAAGCCCTAAAATCATTGGTACTGGCGATATACTAAAGTTAAACATGATTTTATCTTGTTTCATCTTCTTTCTTGAGTTCATTTTATTATTAGTGTTTTCTACTATTCACTATCTATGTCAAAGCTCAAAGTTCAAAATCCAGATGACGAGCACACTTTAGAACGAAAATGTTATTGATAGATAACCGAGGACTTGAATTAAGACTTGATATATATTAGCAGGTCCTTTAGCCGTAATGCCCTCCACTACAGAGGGGAATATGGGAGTGTTTACCACGTTGGTTAACCTTTAAACTTGAAATGTAATAATTAAATGGACGTTAATGAAAATAACCCACTGTTTTCGTGTTTTGGGTGTTTGTAATCATAAGTGTGCTTATGCCTTGTTGTTGTGAACTAAAATGTACGATCAATGGTCGACCCTCTACCTTTTCGGTTTGCATCAAAATCCGCTCGATGGATTTCAAGCTATACCATGCAGGTTAACAATTTTATCTAACAATTAAGTTAGCGCGAGGAGGGGCAGTTGATGGAATGGACGGTATAAATAGCGCGATGAGGGGAATTTGATGGAATGGACGGTATAAATAGCGCGAGGAGGGGAAGTTGATGGAATGGACCGTATAAATAGCGCGAGAAGGGGAAATTGATGGAATGGACAGTATAAATAGCACGAGGAGGGGAAGTTGATGGAATGGACGGTATAAATAGCACGAGGAGTTGAAGTTGATGGAATGGACGGTATAAATAGCACGAGGAGGGGAAGTTGATGGAATGGACCGTATAAATAGCACGAGGAGGTGAGGTTGATGGAATGGACGGTAAAAATAGCGCGAGGAGGGGAAGTTGATGGAATGGACGGTATAAATAGCGCGAGAAGGGGAAGTTCATGGAATGGACCGTATAAATAGCACAAGGAGGGGAAGTTGATGGAATGGACCGTATACATAGCACGAGGAGGGGAAGTTGATGGAATGGACCGTATAAATAGCACGAGGAGGGGAAGTTGATGAAATTGACGGTATAAATAGCACGAGGAGGGGAAGTTGATGGAATGGACGGTATAAATAGCACGAGGAGGGGAAGTTGTACGGCTGAAATGTTACCTTTACAACAAATTAATTTACGTCAGCGTGTTTGTGAATATGCTGGAATTTACCTTCGGAATCAAATTTTCATTGGCGGTATTAATGCTTTTGATAGATTTAATGTAATACTGGATAACTAGCCATAGCGCTTTCAATATTTCCAATGGTGGTATAACGCTGAGGAAGAGCGAGAATATCCCTTTTGAAAATAACATCGTTTATCACTAGCAAACAGTGGTTCTCCCGACTGTAACATTACTGCTGCCTCTATGTACTTACATTTCCTCTGACAACAATGAGTTTCATCCTTTTGCCTCAATAAAGAAAATTAAGGAACACAATTCTTCGATAGCTGAAATAAATTTATTCTTATATTGTTATATTGTTATATTAACATCACCTTTAGTATCAACCCGCTATTCACGTTATATATTAAATATGTCATGATCACCACGTAAAACCTCTGGTTTAACATTAAAATGTTATATGTGCACTGCCCTTCATTACAGAATCCGGTGTAACGATATCCGTGTAATCCAGTCAGCTAAAAAGTCATTAAAGCCAGCACTTTTTTCTGAAACCTTTTGTTGTCCATAATAGCTTTATCACTTTCACAAAAACATGGTAACAATCAATGAGAATTGCATTGAAAACGACGGGATTAATAACAAAAGTTCCATTATAATGTCGGAAGACGATGAAATCCTCTTTTAACCAAAACGTCAATGACGAGGTAATCACATGATGACTACGATGTCTGCGCACTGCCGGAAGACGATCGGGATGGTATTGGTAGTGTAGGCGACCTCCAGAATATAGTTGGGACTCTCACTTAGCTGCAGATCGTGAGGGATGTGGATGTCTGTCATGTATAAAGTCAGGGAGGGTTCTTCAGTGTCCGGGATGGAAGTCAAGAATCTTGTGTAAAAGGAGATATCGGTCTTGTGGTGAAGGGATATGTCGAAGGAACCGGGGTTGGTGCTGTTGTGGTGATCTAAATTCTTTTGCAGGACAACCGTGTAGTTCATGCCGCGCTGGAAAACCGCCATGTTGTTTGGGTTCCTCATTCTCCCGCCACATTCATCCGTTGTCAGGTAACAGTCGGCTGCCGCGGGTTTGTTGTACCCGGACAGGGAGCCTCGTTGTCGAGGGTTCAAGAGACACATATGGGCAGAGCATATGGTCATCAAACATACCGACAGTCCGAGAAAGAACAATTCGTTCATGGCTGCAGCTTACCGACTTAGAACTGTTGACTTGATCACTGGTGTCCGTACTACCTTTGCGATCCTTAAATAGAGCGGTGTAAGTAATCTAGGTATGGATAAGGGATCTAGATCCGAGATACGGCATGTCTAAGTCAGGAGTTCTTACACAATATCTCAAAATGTTTAGTAACACTGTTCAGTTACCATTTATTTATACACTCGTGATAGTAACGGTTCTTTTGCTTTTATTTGTCCAACACCACACATAAAAACACAATTGCATGACCAATGCATATGCCAAGCTACTGTCTTTAGCACTCCATTACCTTCGATACAGGTGTGTGTTCTCCCGTACCTCACACGCGCATTCCAATTTTTGTTAGGGGGAATACAAAAACACTCTATCCACCATCAGACAGAGATGTCTCTCCCCTTAGACTAACACAATATTTCCACGCCTTGGGCGTAAAATAGTAAAATCTAAATCCAAAGGGTACGATTCTTAAATGTCTAGCCCGATGCTTCAGGTTTTTCTGTCTTACTTCTAAGATGATGAATGTTTCTTTTTCTCCAACATCAAATACAAGTGGTAATTTCATGAAATACAAACGTTGATACCATAAAACCCAGCAAATCGGAGTTATCTTCTGTGATCTGCTATTGTTGGCGATACGTGACTGGCAAATCAACTGTAGGATATAAAATTGTTATCAAGGACGAGATATACCGATACATGAAGAATGAAAACATCTCGTACATATCTCCTTTATTGATCTACATATACAGCAGACATATTGACAATGACAGGTCATGTCTACAGTCTAGCTATACAACCACAACATATTCATAAATAGTGTTACATGAAACGGTAATAAACAGGAACATAGCAAAGATTGAACATAACAAACTCAAAGGACAGGTATACTTGTATACGTATGTTTTAAGGCCGAGTACATGTCCTAGCAGCCCATTTGGCTATATCAAAGGATAGTTCTTATCTGTAGAAGGGACATCTGCTGTAGATAAATAATGTATAAAGAACAATCTCCAGTATGACAATGGGGAAGCTGCATCTTTATTGTCAGTTTATGTGGTCGACGGGCTAGGAACAGGCGGACGCACTTTGGAATGTTTTCGCTACGTTGACTAACAGATATGAGATAATGGCGCCCACTACTGAGCCAACTTGCGTCACCGCCCCGCACCAAAGTAGAGATCTCTTTCCTTCTTTCCTGAAGAGCGTTGCTAGAGTGACCTTGGAGAATGTCATCAGAAAAACCGTCAACACCCACGTCGTTACCTGAAATTCAATCAGTGATTTACAACAGTTTGTCAATGTGGCCGATTATAAGTATTGTACAGTACCTGAACCTTAAATTATGTAAGGGGGTCTGTCCTAGACTTTATTATACCCGGAACGGAGAAAAATACTACTCTAACAAGCTTACATATCCTTCATACTTATATCCCCTTACATTAACCGTGCTACGGCTATGTGCATCGGAAATGTGCAGTAAAAAGGATTGAGTTAACTCAGACGTAAGGGAAGTTATCTGCCTATGATTGTTTTACACACGACATTGAAGAGATTTTATTCATACCAATATTATCTTACCAAAATATATGGTCCTGCTGGGTCGTCATACAGTACAGGAGATGGACTCTGAGCAGCCGTCATCACAATGAACGCAGCTAAACACGTCCCAAGGAACGTGAGCACACTGATAACGAGGCTGGTTGGAACCGGAAGTAGTAAAGCTACAAAACATGCCATGGGGTTTGCGATATTTCCAAGAGTCATTGCCAGGTGGTAGGCGTCGTAGCCGTACGGAAGACACGAGTAGGTCTGAATGGAGGGGAGAATACCATTAGTCAGGGCGTTAACCCACAACACCAGACACAAAAAGTATATATAGGTTTTATTGCTCATTGAATGTCGAGCTTGCGGCACATTTAAATTTATATTGCATTCTTTGCGGTGTAGAAGCGCTTCCAAAGCCTCTTGTGAGTTATCGAGGGTCTGCTGATTACCCTGTAGTTCAATGTGTCCTTTACTGCTCATCGTGCTGCGGGTATCTGACGTCTTCAAGATTATGTGCTCCTTTTTAAAATAAGGCAAATAATTTAGTAAAGAAAATGCCGAACCGCATAATATCATCATTGCAAACAGGAATAAAAAGAAATGGTCCACTGGAAAATAAGGATCTTGATAGATGGTTTGGATTTCAAATGAGGAAATATTATTAGTTGTATCAAAAATGGAGACATTTTCACATGATATTTTCCCCACACCTTGTCCTAGGGCGACCAGACTTGGTATCAGTCCACTCATTCCTTCTCCTATAAAGTATCCGGTCATATACTCGACCTTGAACAATGACATGAAGGGTAGGAAAAGGACAGACGATGTACAGTCGACAATAGCCAGAAAGAAGAATAATGTCATCAAAGCCGTACTGCGCATCTCGCCGGCCAGGAATGAGGTGCTCTTCCAGAAGAAGGACAGCAGCAGACACGCGGCAGATCCGATTGTAAGGACACTATATATGGCCGCCTTCTCATTTAGGGCATCGTTGGTAATCAAGTACGCCAAGGTGACGGCGATCGGTCCTATGTTGGCGGGTTGTATGATCATGATCAGATAGGAGGGTAGTGTCCATCCCTCTGGTAGATGAGGAACTAAGACGGGCAGCTCTATCAATACACCATTAACTGCTACCCAGGATCCAACACCAAACACTATCACCGTTATGTAGACCAGGACGTTGATCTCCCCGTACTGGGAAATCTTCATTGCGGCTTATAATATGGGGTAGTCTGACTTTCAAATGCACATGAAATCTGCAACAGATTTTAGACATTCATTAAATTAAAGTTGTCAGTTATCCTGAATTAGACATTAATAAAGACATGATGGTTTCAAGAAAGTGTGTCAACGTTATCATTTCAGATATGTTGAATAAATAAAATATCTTGAAATGTTAATATAAAGTATTGGGTTGTCGGGTGGCGAAGTGGAAAACGCACTCGTCCTTCACCAAGGCGGCCGATGTTCGATTCAAACTCCTATACAACAGTATTGTGTAGATTGACCTAATGAGTATCTTAAAAGACGATAATGATGTCCGCACCAGAGTGAGAGTGTTAGTCATGTTTAACTCACACCAGGCTTGAAACGCTGTTACCAGAGGAATTGTCATTCTGTTTTTATCAAAAACTAATATCCAGGTTTGACAGTTTTAAGAATGGATTGTTTTTCAATTCATAGGTATTAAAAAGCAGATTCGCCTTCTCAATAAATCACACACTGACCGGGCTTTATTTAGTTTTTCATCAATAGCAATGTGTGTTATAGGACCACAACAACATTTGCTAAAACATCCATTGTTTAAATGAAATATTATATCCAATGTAGTAATGTATTATGGTATATTCCATCAAAAATCTACTCACCTGTACAGCGGCTTCGTGGTCGGTACTGAAGACAGCCGATTCCCTTGTGCCGAGGATTGTGTTTATAGCGAGAACAGATGCCACCATTCTTTTTTTTTCCTCATAAATAATAATAACATAAACATAAAATAAAATGATATATATTGTCGCATAGACGTGTCACTTTCCCTTTGATCTAGCTTGGGTATAACAAACTTATTTTACACAGTTTTACTAATAGCATATAGTATAAGTGAGGCTCCTCCCTGAATACAATAGAATTCTCCATTCTCATTGGTCAGCCAATGAAAGTTGAAAGTGGCCAATTAGTGAATGCTAATAGGATATCGACACCGTGAGAAAAAACTAAAAATACAATAATGGAAGTTCAAACACATTTAATTCGGCAACATTGTTGCAAACAATTCAACAAATTTCACCTTTCCAGATTCCTTGATCTATCTTTTTTTCCAATTTGTAACTTACAACTTTAAGCATGAACTAGTCCGTCTTATAATTAAACGACAAATGGCAATTGTGAAACACAATTCTGGCCATACATGTACAGTGTAGACATATACAAACATATACAGTGTAGACATATACAAACATGTACAGTGTAGACATATACAAACATATACAGTGTAGACATATACAAACATGTACAGTGTAGACATATACAAACATGTACAGTGTAGACATATACAAACATGTACAGTGTAGACATATACAAACATGTACAGTGTAGACATATACAAACATGTACAGTGTAGACATATACAAACATGTACAGTGTAGACATATACAAACATGTACAGTGTAGACATATACAAACATGTACAGTGTAGACATATACAAACATGTACAGTGTAGACATATACAAACATGTACAGTGTAGACATATACAAACATGTACAGTGTAGACATATACAAACATGTACAGTGTAGACATATACAAACATGTACAGTGTAGACATATACAAACATGTACAGTGTAGACATATACAAACATGTACAGTGTAGACATATACAAACATGTACAGTGTAGACATATACAAACATGTACAGTGTAGACATATACAAACATGTACAGTGTAGACATATACAAACATGTACAGTGTAGACATATACAAACATGTACAGTGTAGACATATACAAACATGTACAGTGTAGACATATACAAACATGTACAGTGTAGACATATACAAACATGTACAGTGTAGACATATACAAACATGTACAGTGTAGACATATACAAACATGTACAGTGTAGACATATACAAACATGTACAGTGTAGACATATACAAACATGTACAGTGTAGACATATACAAACATGTACAGTGTAGACATATACAAACATGTACAGTGTAGACATATACAAACATGTACAGTGTAGACATATACAAACATGTACAGTGTAGACATATACAAACATGTACAGTGTAGACATATACAAACATGTACAGTGTAGACATATACAAACATGTACAGTGTAGACATATACAAACATGTACAGTGTAGACATATACAAACATGTACAGTGTAGACATATACAAACATGTACAGTGTAGACATATACAAACATGTACAGTGTAGACATATACAAACATGTACAGTGTAGACATATACAAACATGTACAGTGTAGACATATACAAACATGTACAGTGTAGACATATACAAACATGTACAGTGTAGACATATACAAACATGTACAGTGTAGACATATACAAACATGTACAGTGTAGACATATACAAACATGTACAGTGTAGACATATACAAACATGTACAGTGTAGACATATACAAACATGTACAGTGTAGACATATACAAACATGTACAGTGTAGACATATACAAACATGTACAGTGTAGACATATACAAACATGTACAGTGTAGACATATACAAACATGTACAGTGTAGACATATACAAACATGTACAGTGTAGACATATACAAACATGTACAGTGTAGACATATACAAACATGTACAGTGTAGACATATACAAACATGTACAGTGTAGACATATACAAACATGTACAGTGTAGACATATACAAACATGTACAGTGTAGACATATACAAACATGTACAGTGTAGACATATACAAACATGTACAGTGTAGACATATACAAACATGTACAGTGTAGACATATACAAACATGTACAGTGTAGACATATACAAACATGTACAGTGTAGACATATACAAACATGTACAGTGTAGACATATACAAACATGTACAGTGTAGACATATACAAACATGTACAGTGTAGACATATACAAACATGTACAGTGTAGACATATACAAACATGTACAGTGTAGACATATACAAACATGTACAGTGTAGACATATACAAACATGTACAGTGTAGACATATACAAACATGTACAGTGTAGACATATACAAACATGTACAGTGTAGACATATACAAACATGTACAGTGTAGACATATACAAACATGTACAGTGTAGACATATACAAACATGTACAGTGTAGACATATACAAACATGTACAGTGTAGACATATACAAACATGTACAGTGTAGACATATACAAACATGTACAGTGTAGACATATACAAACATGTACAGTGTAGAGGGGGGTCATCTTGAATAGTGATATGTAAACTTAACCCAAGCAGTTGTTTCATTGAAGTGAACAGGTTTTTGAACAGCAGTTTACGGATTTTTTTTCTTATCTCGTTATAACGAGATAACTATCTCGTTATAACGAAATAGCTATCTTGTTATAACGAGATAGCTATCTTGTTATAAGGAGATAAGAAAAAAATTCAAGATGACACGTATAAGCTTTCGTAGTTCTGCATACCCAGGTATTTATGTCTTTTTGGATTCTTTTCCTTCAGCATACTTGCTAATATATACATATGATTTCAATTGATTCACTGGCATTGCATAGTGATTTAGGAAAATACCCTGAGGGAAAGGAGTTCGGTCAGGGTGATTTAGGAGGAGGAAACAACCCCATGGCCGTGTTCCCACAGGAAACAGATGTTGCTCATAAGCAGGTGGCAAAGCAGTCTACAAGTGGTCCTGGTGGAGAATCTGGACAGATGTTGGCTGTTTCAAGGTCACAGCTGAAACAGCTGATTGATGAGAAAGTACAACAAAGGCTTACATTTAAGATTAATTTTGGATGGTCAGTATAAATAGCTCATTGAGCAAAATGGTGAGTATGTTGACTTGTAATTAATGTTAGCCAATCCCAGTAGCATTGATGAGCAACACAAAATAATTGGTTTTGTTGATGGGGAAAATAAAAATCATTAGTAAGAGGCAATTAAGAAGATCAATGACATTCAGGCATGGACTGACATCGTTTTAGTTTGTATGTCTATTTATATTTCTGTCAATCCGGAGGAAGCAATACAAATGTTGAAGTATATAAGTACGTTTTGAATAGGGGAAAGGTAGGGAAGGAGGCAATGGCTGGATATAATATGATCAGCAGTTTCGACTTAAGGAAGCAGGAGATCAGGGAATTTCTTGAGGTGTTGTTGGTGATTATGAGGTTGCTAATAATGTGTTAAAAGAGGTTTACCTTGACAGGTTTGCTGGCCCTTTCCATTGCAGGCCTATTGAAACCCTGCATATCACCACTTGGTCTTCTTGATTGAAGTTTTTAGGCACTGTGCAAATAATGCTGAAGTATGATTCGCCACCTCAAGCTCTAGTAATTCATTGTGGTGGCAATGATATAGGTAGTTTATCCTTGCTAGCATGGGTCCTTTAATACCTGGAATTTAAAGTACATTGGATACTCTTAGGGCTCTGTTGCCTAGTACTTGTATTATATTGTCCCAAATACTTCCAAGCTCGTGGAGATAGGAAAGGCGTGGTGATAATCTGAAGAAACACCACAGTGCGTATAAATAGTAAGGTAGCTCCTGGCAATTTGTCCAAAGGGGTTGGTACATATATATATATATAAGATATTCCGAGATTGTTTACAGCAATTCTGCATTGTTTTCAGGAGACCAGGTGCATCTTTCAGGTATTTGAAATTTATTTTTCTAGCATTATTTGCAGCAAAGTCTTTTTTTATGTTTCAAATTTTCTCTGCGGGTGTTTCCTTAACCATAAATCAACCAAGGTTCATAGCAGTGGCGATTGTGGTATTGGCTGCTTCAGCAACCCTTTTATCTTATGACAGGGGTTGTTGGAGTCGTTCACGGTAGATTTTTTCTACCAATTTGAGCATTTTGTTGTTATTTAATGTGAAATGCCATGATTTTTTGCATATTGGACACAAAGATCCGTCTCTTGGTCAGGTTAGTGATTTTCCTACCATTTTGATCTTGATATTGCTATTTATTATTCTCACTCGAAGAGTTGGCGGG